GCATTCAGCGACTTACGCTGTCCAATGGGTTAAATCAAACTCAATGCCCCTCAATTGAAAATTACTAGTCAACTGTTCCTGAAATTTCAATTGTTCTCTAACAATCTTTCAGCTGTCTGTTCACTTTTCTAAAAATTCATATCAATAAATAAATCACCGAATAAATACAAAAATTCAAAAATCCACAACTGAATAACTAAATATTTACATAAAAACCAAATCACTGTTACGACAAATTTAGTGCATAAACACAAATTAAATACATAAACAAAAATCCCACATTATCTCGACGCATTAATTCTCACTGATGTATATAATTACCCCGAGCATTAATTTACATATAATTCCATTATTTCTCGAGTCACCCTGGATCTTACATCACGAAGAAAGATCAATTTTCGGATATTCTGCAATGCACGCATGTTCATGTAACGTCACTGCAAAAATCCATATCCCTCTGCACAACCCGCTACATTACTTCACCCCCCCCCTCCCCCCCGCCCATCAGTTGCGTCTGCCCCGTACACAGGCACAAAAGTGTTTTGTACCATTGTAGAATACAAACAGCATTCCACAAGCCATTCTCCTGGGCTATTTGTCGAGGAGTTTCAGGAATATGTATTATTGTGGGGGAAATGGGTGGGCCATTTAACAGTGCGTCAACTCAATGCTCATTGTATCTCATCAGCCTTTCACGTTTTGGCTTGTGCCTGCGGCAATGATGAGTGAAAGAGGGGTAGGGGGTGGGGGCATTATATGTATCACTGGTAACATATGGTCAAGAGGGCAAACGTCTCTATTATTTACCTGATAAATGGTCCCTCGTATTTAACACAGTTAATCCTGAGTATCGGTCGGAAGGGGGGCGGGGGGGGGGGAGGGGCAGGGGGAAAGAGCGGATTTCGAGAGTAATAAAAATATGTGCAGTTGCAGCCGTTGCGTTGGGTAAAGGATTCATTTGAATATCGATTTTGAAATTCAATCGGTGGATATGTGACCACGACCCAGATTCTGAAGCAACACCTTTGACTCCTCTGTGCAGCGTGAAATTGTACTTCGATCGTCGTAAAAAGATTGAGCAAAAAGGGATTGGAAAAAACAGTTTTATCTGAATGCAGGTGTCGACGTGTCGCGATTCGAGTTGCAGTGGCCCAGATTGAGTGGAAACGGCTCGAGCGTGACGAGGTTTATAGGGTTTTTTTAACGATCTTGTTAGATGAGTGATCGCCGGAGTGGCAGTGGGGGATTAATGGTAGGATCGTTGGTGAGGAAATAATTCATCGATTTGCGCAATTTTTTTTTTTGATGGGGAATTGAAATGGAGCGTTTGTTGTTGGGGTTTATTCCTTTTCGGGTTTTTATAGTTTTCCTTCTCCAACCCGGGTGACAAGTGAAGTGAATAAAATTTTTGGTAATGATAATGCCAGACGGACTAGAGAGTTGGGTAGATGCTCTGTTGAAAATTTTTCAATGAAATTTGCGGTAAGAGGCTTGGAATTTTCTAAGAAGTAACATTTCCACTGAAATTTCAAGGAATTTTGGTGTTGAAAATTTATGATTTCATGGAAAAATCGGTGGCAATCGTGAATTTCAATGTAATTATTCCGGGAAAATAAATGAAAAATCAAGAAAATTCAGAGAAATGTCTCCTTAAATTCAAGGTTCGTCTGAATTTTCAGGGGATTGCTTAAAAAATTTATGTAATTTCAAGAGATTTGAAGGAATTTCGTGAAAATTCCAGAGAATTTGGCAGTGAATATTCATTTTCACTTGAAAATTCATGTAAATTATAGAATTTCCGTCTCCCTGCCGTTAAAAACTTGAAATTCCATTGACTTTTTCTCCTTAAATCGAATTCAAGGTCTTTTTCTAAAAGTTCAAATGAATAATAACAACAATTGTCATGAGATTAATGCCAGCTGTAATGCAATAATACCTCGCTTCCCCCAAATTCTGTTCGTTGTACTTCAAACAATTCGAATTGCAGTAATTGTCACTTCGAATTCCCCCGTATAATTGATTAGGGAATTAAACAGATGACTGTGAGCCATTATCAGCCAGTGATGTGGAAAATTTTATTGTGAATTGTCAAAGGATGGACTTTGCAGCGTGGAAAATGATGAATTTTTTACAACCCACAAATTGCTCATTATTTTCCAACATCTCTCGTCCCTTTCAATTCATTACTAGTAGAATATTCCTTTGTCCTTTGCATCATGGAATTCATCATATAATAACTCGACATATTGGAACAAAATTCTTGTTACACAGAGGAAATGAAGTTTTGATTTTCAGATTCTAAAGTTGACACTGCTAAAAAAATTGTCTGAAATTTCCAGTACACTTTTCGGAAATTTTTATTTCAAGGAATTTTGTCAATGAAAATCCATAATTTGATGGAAAAATCAAAGAGAACTATAAATTTAAGTTCCATTTTTCCCTGAAAATGAATAGAAACCGATTAAATGCGATTTAGGGGGGAAAATTATGAAATTTCAGATTTCACTGGAAATTCAATGTAATTTGGCACTGAATATTCACATTAAATTGGAAATTCAAATAAATCAAGGAATTCTCGTCTTTGTGCTGCTTAAAATTCGGGAATTTTACTAAATTCTCAGTGAAACCTGAAATTTCATGTTTTTTCGCCTAAATCGCATTCAGTGTCACTGTCCTGAAAATTAGTACTCAACTGTCCATGACATTTCATTTTATTTCCAACCGTGTATTCTATAAACTCAGCACCGGATTTCACCCAGGAAAAATTGCTCGAACTACTTGGATATCCGTAATTCGAAATTGGTCAAGTAATTGCTAAAAACGGTCTCTTCCCCACTTCGCAGATTTAATAATCCTCAGATGTCCCGCCAGACCTCAAGCCTAATTGATATCACTGTGTCATACAGAGACCATCAATGCATTCATGAATCTCCCATTGGACACAGACAGATATACGCAAGAGGGATACTCTCCCGCAATAAGATTATGGTAATCGACTATCCGACTTGGAAACCCCCATCAGGCATATTAATTACGGGTGTATGCATCCACAACCCCTCTCCCCTCCCCCTCTGCCCGTACCGCATTCTCCCCCGACCGTTGAAATTTGCCTTTGATGCGAGTGCCGCAGCCTCGCAAGAGGTAACACAATTCACGCCAGTGTCTAATCTCAAATGGGATTGGCTGATGACGCAAGGGACACAGCAAATGGACTTTATCCATTGAGCGAGAATGTCGCTATGGAAAATGTACCATCTCCCCATGTCGATTTTCATGGGATTTTCCTTCTGGACTTTGTGCCCGCAACTTCGATTCGCACAAAATGGGATGTGTGGACAAATCCACTGAGAATACTGGTAATTTCATGTAACCAAGTGGATTTCTAGTCATCCCGATATCCTCCCTTGTGAGCGCATGAGGCGATTCGATCGATCGAGGGGGATTGGTTCGCAAAATTCATGGGTGAGTGGTAAATAAGAAATTTCAGATGTCGATGTTGGATTTTAGTGAGAGAAATGAAACTTTTGTCAAGTGTATCTCAGACTGGAATAACTAGGGGCTTGAAGACGTCTTAAAAGCACAAAGAGAACTTCGGAAATTTAGAATTTCAAGTGGTCGCTATGGCTTGAACTACAAAACTTTAACTTATCTTAGAATTTAGCACTATTTGTTCATTTTCATTGTTGGAATTAATCACAATCCTTGAATTCATCAATTGCGCCGCGAATTTATGGCAGTACTTGCAATAGGTTTTACAGGTTTCATTGAAATGTCAACTACATAAAGTAGCAAAGAAAAAAAAATAGAATTATGGATAAAGTGGAACAGAAAATTTTTAGAATATCAAAATTTATATTGAGTTTTGGATTAATTAATTTTACTCTAGACAGTCTCATTGAATGGCATATCAAATGTTCATATTTATTCCCTATTATCGTTTATTGACTAATAAAAATCCCAGACCTGAAATAAAATAGTGAACTCTTGACAGTGACTATAGTAAAGAAGAAAGATCCTTTCGTAGGAGAAAGTAATAACTGCAAAAATCGACTCAAATTTCGATAAAAATATATTGAATTTATGTTTTATGAAATATATATTATATAATATCGTGTCAACATAAATTAAATAGTATATATTGACAAAATATATTGAATTAGTGGTTTATTAATAGCCTTCACATCGTCTCAAAGTATGATGATTCGATTCCAGAGATGCCCTTGCGAGATCAAAGATATATTTTATCTACAAATAATTATTCGAGTACCCGACAGAACGTGAGCTGATGGCACGTACTTGATAACATCAGTTTAATACCCCCATCGTGTATCTTATCAAGCGATACATAAATGTGACGTTTTTTTAGATCTCGCGAAATTCAGCGGCCTTTCGTACTTCCATAACCAACGCAATTCATGGATGAACAAATGCGGGATTTGAAATTTAATAACATTGTCCATACCATTACAACATCCCTCCGAGTCTTATTTTCCCCAGTTCAGTTCGACTCCATGAATATGTGAAATTGCGACGAAATTCCCTCAACTCGTATCCGCTCCACGTACAATGAACTTTCGCCTCGAGTCGTAATTTTTAGCAATTAATACCCTATTCCTCACGTGAATGAGTGAAGCATTGATGTAGAAGCGCGCCCCAGAAAGGGGATACATCGGGAATTATTTTCCACTCGATATTCACGGAACAAAAAACTTTTCACGAATTTACCGCGAAAAATTCATACATTTCGCAGCTAAATTTCCGGTGCTGGCACAGTAATTTTCCTGGTATTTACTCTCCACCTTCCCGAGAATATACCTTTATCACTTGGAAAATAATACCTCTGGCCGAGCTCAATCTGAATGAATTTTTAATCTCTGAAATCCAGATTACGAAGCCCATTGATAATGTATATTGTCCCAATAGTAAATAGACTGATACGTTATCATTATATAAAAGAATTTGTCCTCTGACGAGTCGATGTAGAGTTCCAAAAACTACGGCATCATGAGGTGGTCACTTCTCCTCAGCCTATTAGTGGCAATTCAACCAGAATTTAGTGTGTTTGCTAAAACAGGAGGTGAGAGAAAGTCAATAGATTTATCATTGTTTTTGTTCTTTCATTTTTCCAACATCGAACGCCATCCCTTTCAGTGCAACTCCATTGTTCTCCACGGGGTGACGGTTCAAGCCACCCCTTTTCACCCATTCCCAACAAAAACCAGAACGGAAGAACCCTGGGCGACCCTTTCCGGCTTTTCATACATGCACTCTACCTCCCACTCGCCATTCGAAACGTCGTCGGTGTTTGCCATAGGAAGATACACGCCCGTCGCTTGTTCGAGATTTTCATTGCCTCTCAGTGAAGTGTTATCCTCTTTTCCACCATTCACCCTTTCACCCCCATCGACAATTCGATTGGCCATTCGTGGAAGGAGGTTTGATTACCTTCACATTCTGAAGATGTAGAATTTGTCCTGGTGTCTCTTTTCCTGCTAAACATATTTGGGAAGATGAAGTGATTTGGTTCATGGAGCAAACGCATGTTGCAGAAGCAAACGTTGGGGGAAATTTCACATTCGAAGCTGATGCTCCTCCGAAGAATGTGACTTTATGTCGTTTTAAACACGACAAACTCGTTTACAATATTTATCCAAATCCGCAAGACCGCCGGATACGCCATCTCGGAGGCAATAATTGCTCATTCCAGCTGACCAACGTTCACATTAATGATGACGGCAAATGGGAAATCTGGACGTATGGACCAGGTGAACTCCCTCCATCGGCTGAACCCATCATTACTGAATATGACTTAGAGGTGCTGGACGCTGAAGTGAGTGATTTTGCTTGTGGGATGATGAAGATGATCGGTAGTTATGCATTTTGTGTCATTAAAGTGGTTAATTTCTTCAGAACTCTGAACAAATGTCGGCTGAATCAACGCCACCTACTGAATCTCAAACGAAACCTACGACGGAATCAACTGGTGGGCCAACAACAAACTTAACTGCTGCACCAACAACGAAATGGACTCCTACACCAACAACGAAATCAACTGCTCCAACACAACCACCAACACCTCCACCAACACCGGTGGAGAAGCAGAAACTTCAAATTGGATTTGGTGTAAACATGATGCTGGATCACTACGAACTCGCCCAAAGATGCATCGTACTGCACAACAATATACTATACGAGATTTATCCAAAGATGAATTTGACAGATGCAAGCTTTGAGCAAGCATTCCGTTGCAGATTCCAAGTAGACCACATCAACTGGGAGCACACTGGCAACTGGACCTTAACAGGTTTCTTCCCAGGAGCAGGAAATAATTTTGACCAATTAGTCCCGCACTCCATCATTTATGAGATCTCTGCTTATGAGGTATGTCAGAGTGATAAGCCCTTCTATTTCCAATACTTCTGGACCATTCAATTTTGCAGAAAGTGGGGGTGCAGCCAGCTACAGAGGTCTCCATGAACTCTGGTTATGCCACATTCTACCTTCCCAAGACTTTCGAGAATCCAACCTCTTGTCGGATTACAAATAAGGTACTACTTTCGGATAGTGATGCCGTCGAGACTAAACGAGAACTATTTTGGAAAGATCATCACGGTCTAAAAAAATATCGAAAGTTTACGAATCGTCGTAATCTCGAAAGACATTGGATCGGTGCATCTCGTCACGATCTTGGAAGAATCCATCACGTCTGAGTTTCAGTATTTTCTGTTTTTCAAATATTTGTCTCGATATCTGTCTCGACGCGTCTCGTGAACTTAAATAACCGAAAATCTCGAGATCTAGGCAAGATAAATGCTCCCGGAATTGTGACGAGATGCAACCGATCCAATTTCTTTCGAGATTGCGACGATTCCAAAACTTTCGATGTTTTTACAAACCGTGAGGATCTCTTCAAAATAATTCTCGACTAGTCTCGACGGCATCACTACTTTCGGAAGTGAACACAAAAGTTTTCCCATTCTTTCAATAGAAGAGCAAAATTATATTTGGATAATGAGGTATTTGGATAATTAGGTATTGTTTTTATAAACAACACCTGTGGTTAAAACATCCTGCGGTTTAAACATCCGCACATGATGAATCCATCATGGAAAATAAATGATTGATCATCAATTCTCTGACGTAGGGCGAGACGTTTGAACTTCTCGGCCAGAAAATAGATTCAAGCGAAGACATTGAGCCCTACAAAACTTGTGGAGTGAGAATGCGTTACGATAAACAACGAGAAGGTACATGGACTATAATCCAGTCAAGAGGAGATTCCCAAGAAATTATTGGCTCATTTACAATCCACGATGCTAAGGATCCCGAATTGCCGAAGATTGTAAGTACATCATGCAATCGTGCACCGTCCATGTGCTTCTGATTTTGATCATCTCTCGATTTTGAGACACAGCATCATCAGTTTTGGACACGCGGTGCCCCTGAATCGCTGCAAGTGGGAACCCCTAGCTTCCACCAAGTCACTTATTGTGACATCGTCAGACCGGACGGTGTCGTCATCCCATTATCAGATCCAGAGTGTAAATATGAGGTGAACGCGACTGACAAACATGCTGGTACTTGGAAAGGACGATATGGAGTTGATCACAGCATGAAGCTTTTTGAAGAAGACTTCATTGTTGAAGTCTGGGGTAAGTGTTACAACAATTGAAGAAATTCAAGAATAACAAACTAAAGATCTTGGAATGATTTAGATTCCGAATCTGTCGAGATATCCGTAACCACTGAAGGCGACAGAGTCACGATGTTATGCAGAACTGGATTGAAATCTCTCAAGAATTGCATGTTCCAGTCGCCAAATGGAACTGTTTTCACCCTTCAAGGTGGCATGGGAGATGGCAAGTAAGACTCCTCAATTTTATTTTCAACCAACAATGAGCCTCGATGCTGACCTCATTAATCGCATAAATTTATGACGATTAGCTACGAATATTACGGACGTGGTTTTACCAAAGAACCACGCGGTGCATCGCCAAAGAGAGCTGAGTGTGGGCTGACGATCCGTGAGCCCTCACCTCACGATTACGGAGTTTGGAAATGTTCTATGAAAAAGTTCCATGAAAGTAATATGAAAAAGCTGAAGGAGGCCTCAATCCATGGCCTCATCGACGTTCCAAATCCCAAACAGAAGGATCTCACAGGTGACATAGTTTCATCTCCTGCTGTTTACGTAAAACGTGGCGATCCATTCACGGTAACTATCGGCCGATTTCATGTCATGAAACCAAACAATCCCCATTATAGCATTATGATCGATCAATCGATCCTGACTCTTTGCATCGCCCATCCAGATTCGATGCACCACCAACGCTCCATTGAATTTCTGCTGGATGCGAAGTCCCAATGGCACCATGTACTCAGTGACAAAAAGCGGAAGTGGTGGAAATCTTTTAAGTTACAATGGTGAAGGTTTGTCCATGGGTGTTTGCGGTGCACGTGTTGAAAATGCTGACGACACGGACAACGGCGATTGGAGCTGTCAGCTGGGTGTTGTTGGTGCTGCGGAAGTAAAGTCGATAGTTCCGGTTACGGTCACTGGTTTGTATGCACAACTTCCATATGACGAATGAACCAATTTAGCGATAAAATCGGGACAGCTCAATCCAGTTTTCCAATCGCGATTGTTTTCCCGCGTAAATCTTCCAGTTGTTTTGCTCTTATCTTTCTTTGTTTCCGTCCTTTTCAATTCTTCACATTGAATCGTCATCATTAATCGTACCGAGCAATACATCTGACATCAGCGTCTGATCCACTGAATTTGAGTCTAAATTTGTTGAAGTGTTTCGTGCTTAATTGCGAAACCAATATAGTCGTACTGAATTATTGAATCAAATAGCTGAGCAGTCAACCGTTGATCCCGTAATTACACACGCTGTTAAGCTTAATGAGTCTCTTACTGTAAACTTCGATGGTTACTTAAATGATTCGGTATAACATCGGGAGGGAGTTCTCGATGGAAATGCTTCTCATTAATTGCTCCATCCCTTTCAATTCCCTCTTGATTGTTCTGGATTGTTTTTTATTTAGAATCGGAGCTCATTCCAAGGGCTGAGAGCATCTCGGCTTATCCGGGAAAACCAACAGTCCTTAGTTGCCATACTTTACCATCAAGCGAAGCTACCATCGATTACTGCCGATGGGTCCGTCCAAATGGACACGGGATTTATCGTGATACCGTGTCACGTTATGTGTCACAACGAGATAACACCACCTGTACATTGAGGCTCAATGGTAATAACGAACAGTTATTGATTTTAGTGCAGAATCTGTACGATTTGTCGAATGTCGTCTATTTCTTTTCGTCCGGCAAAGCTACTAATTGATTTTGGCGGAGGTTGATTTATATCATAATTATTAATATCATGGGGGCGAACAGGGCCATTAACTAATTAAAATAATCCAGTAGCGAAGTGGTAAAACGGTCGAGATATCTCCCAGTTAAGTTTTTGAGGAATATTTCCGAATCTGAGGGAGATAGCCAATTTTTCGTAATTACATTTGCTGTAGCTCTCAGTCGGCCCTACAAAAAAGGTTATAACAAAAATTTGGCTGTCTCCCTTGGATTCTGAAATATTCATTGAAAACTGGTCTGTAGTCAAAATTGACTTGTACCGTTTTACCACTTCGCTACTGAATTCTTTGTTGGACAGGGAAAACAAAGTTTTTAGTTTCCAGACACAAAAAGCACTCGATTATAGGGAAATCAATCTCAGTATTTTTTACTAACAATGAGATCCAATTCCCATCGTACTGCAAATCAAGACAATTAGTTCTGGGAACTAGTACTTTGGGTTTTTCAAATAAGAAGCGGTGAGTACAAAAATCAAAAACATTCGGGTTCTTAAAATTTAAACCTTGAGGTTCTTAAATTATCTGAAATTATCTTCACGATGATTGTTATAGTGTGAGTCCGGTGGCTTGGCGCAGTGGGTAAGTTCTTTGCCTCATATGCGAAACGTTCCGAGTTCAAATCTCGGCCGGGTAGAATGCTGCGATCTAACCATTTAAAGTCTTGATCATCATCACAGTATGCCCTAACCGGGTCGAAACGATGTAAAATAACGACAAAAAAAAATTATGATGTGAAATCTCAACTCCGGCACCCGCCCGCGTCATCATGAATCGTCACAAATTACAGAACCCTTCCCCTTCTCAACCGCATGATGCAATATTTGAATGCCCACAACGGTTCTTATTTTAAGAAACCAGGGTTCTTGATGCGAATACTATGTGTGTGCTACTGGAGACCAGGAACTTCCTTTCTCTGCGTAGATAAGTAACTTTTTCGACGAACTGGTTTTGATTTTTCGACAAATTGTACCAAACTCACTCCACACACTTCAAACTGAATTCTTTCATGGTAATAGCTGTCGCTCCAGAAGATCTTGGAACCTGGATGTGCTTCGCCCGTCTGAAAACAGGCTCTGACAGGGAGGTTTCGAGTAGAATCAACTTGAAAACTGAAACAGCAGAATCGGCATTCGTGGAAAATACTGCGCTCCATATTGTGGCCATCGTTCTCCTAGTTACCACCATAATTTGCACTGCTTTCATGATCATGTCCTTGTATCGGAGAAAAAATCGTCGCACTCCAACATCACCCGGAGTCTACCAGGACACGGACGACTACTTATCGAAAAATGTCGAGATCAAGGTCCTGCCGTATTTCAATAATCTCAAAACCTCCCAGAATTCGTTCAAGCAATGAATCCCCGGAAACCAAATCGTCAATCGCAGACTGTTAGAAAGAGATTGGAATTCCATTCGATTTAGGGGAAAAAATGGTGAAACTTTATATTTCACTGCAAAAATCAATGAAATTCCGAAATTTTTAGCAGCAGAACAATGAGAATTACTCAACATACTTGAATTTTCAGTAAAAACATGAATACTCAGCACCAAATTACGCTGAATTGTCAATTAATCGAAAATGTAATAATATATTTACAGGGATATTCAAATATTATGTCACATGTGTCTTGGACATTTTAGATCCTCTCCCTCAGTCACACGTCATAACGATTGTGGAATCCCCCTCGCATATTACGTCACAAAATCCAGGAGTCCCCTCCCCTGTTATGGCGATTTTTTTAGTTTCTACATAAAATTGAATTTGATCAATAAGAAAAAGAAAATAAATGATTACGTGAACAATTGAATCTTTATACGATGCTTTTTGAAATTTCCTAAATTGTTGAAGTATTGCCTTCACAGAATTCCGAAGTTTCCCTTTGTGGTAGCAAAGGAAATACTATCATTATTATTCTGTATAATTGAAAGTCTTTGTGAGTCGTAAAATTTTACCGAAAACACAATGGAATTCCAAATCAAAATTGCAATTTTTTTGCAGTAGAACCACGAGAATTCCTCAATATATTTGAATTTTCAATGAAAGCATGAATATTCAGTACTAAATTACGCTGAATATATTTATAATTCAATAACAATATATTTACGGGGCCATTGACACGTCATATGACATGTTTCTTGGAAATTTTAGACCCTCTTCCCCTCCCTCAGTCGCAAGGCATAACGAATATAAAATCCCCCTTGCATATTACGTCAGGAAATCCACGACCCCTCCCCCTGTGCTGGCGATTTTTTAGTTTCTTCATAGAATTGAATTTGATCAATAAGAAAAAAAAGATAAATGACTAGGTGAACAATTGAATGAAAAATTTCGATAATTATTAGATTGTTGTCCTTACAGCATTCCGAAATTTTTGTTTGTGAATCGTTGGGATATTCTGCTGAACTGATGGAACTTCTCGTTCGATTAAAAAAGTAAAAAAATACGATGCCACGTAATACTTGAATATTTCATAACGGAAATTTCCAGATTTTCACGGAATAATTGAACGGAATTTGACAATTTCCATACAATTTCGAAAAAATTCCTTGAAATTTCAGACAACAATTTTCAACAAAGCAATCATATGACCAACAAATTCCCATTCACCTTCATAACTCAATTAGCTATCAATTCTCTGTGTCTTCACCAGAGCGTAACATCAGTAATAACAAAAACAATTATTGTCCCAACCGAAAAATCCGGGATTCACTTCGTTAGAGATTTGGGAACACGACTAAAATGAATAATGAAACAAAAACAAACATGTGCAAAAAAAATAGAACAATGGAAACTGACTCGCAACTCTGAGGAAACGATGGTAAAAAAAATCCAACGGGAAAAGCCTGGACTACATTTTCATTTATAGCATAAACCGATAACGAGTTATTGGATTTTTAAATCTTTGTTCGAATCCTCGGTACATTTAATCCCCTGAATTTTTTGCTGTCCCTCCCTCCCACTTTATCGGCAATTTCCATTGAGTATTTATCGATCACTCTTCCGGCTTTATCTTATCAATTGTGAAGAAATTACCCAGTGGACTCGTTTCGAGAATTTAATCTTAAATGTACATAGACTCAGATTCAGATGGCGGATGGGGCACTTCAGTGACTCCCCCTTTGAACAATCGTACGCTCTCTCGCATGAGATGATCCGTCGTAACATGCGACTAAACAGTACGTGATTTTTCAATGGGAAAATTCGTCCACATGAGTACACCCCTTCGGGATATTGGTACGCGTGCCACTTTGACGCCGAACTGACTGATTATTGTGCGTTGAAATGCTTCGGGGCTATTCGCGGGACTCATCCTTCCCACGTTTTCGTGGTAGCACACAGCCTATCAACTGGTCGTTGATTCATTGTACTCATCGAATCGATACAATGGTGCTGTGTTACGGGGCGCATCGCTCACACGTCGCACGCTCGTGTCGAATAATAAATTGATAATTTGGGGGAATCAATGGGTAAATAATGGGTTCATTGGTTTCTCATGAATCTGAGTTGTAGTTCTCAATATTGGAATTTATCGGGCCAGTGATACACTGAGAGAAATACTAAATTTATGCATCGTTCAGAATATACACTGCGAAAAAATTTTCACTGAAATTTCAAAGAATTTTATGTTTGAAAATCCACGATTTCATGATTTTTCGGAAATCAGTTGCAGCTTTACATGTCCGTTCAATTATTCTTTGGAAAGTTTATGAAAAATCAGGAAACTTCACAGACTTTTCTGCTTGAATTCCAAGTTTCGCTAAATTTTCAAAGTATTCCTTCAAAATTTATGAAATTTCAAGAATTGTTAAGGAATTCCCTGAAAATTCAAGGGAATTTAGCAGTGAATATTCATTTTCACTGGAAAAATGTGGATAAATTATGGAATTTCGGTTTTCCTGCCGTCAAGAAATTGGGACTACGTAAATTTTCAGAGAAACTTAAAATCGCATTGACTTTTTCCCCTTAAATCGAATTCAAAGTCTTTTTCCGGAAAATTCAGCCAAATTTTTTTAACAGTGTACCCACAATGTTGGAAAAAATTGAAATTTTCTTGACAAATTGGTTGTAATTTTCAAACGAATCATCTTAAATTCGATATAATGGGTAGGCGGAAATACCCCAATTAATTAATTTTTACCTGAATTCTCCGAATTTTCACGGAATAATGGAACTAAAATTTTCAGCTCCCGTTAATTTTTCAATAATAACGAACGGATCAATAATGGGTCCATTGGTTCAGCAAAGAGTTTATACTAACAAATGAAATACTCACTTAAACGGCAAAAATAATCAATTGATTAATTTTCAATAAAAATTTTGTTAATATGGACAGACCCATTCAAAATAAATAAAGATAAAGAAAAACTAAAAATCCTCGATTTAATTGAAAAATAACATGTTCCCACAACAGTTCCTGAAACCTCAAGAGAACCCTTTCCCCTCATTACACCCCTGCCTACCTTTACTGTGTCCAAATGCCCACCCGTAAAATACGTATTCCCCAGTGCAGTCGGGTGACAATACAACAACCAGAAACCAACGCGAAAAAACCTAAACCCTCTCTCAAGACGGAAAAATTTCAAAAGCAAGTGGATAAAAAACGGAATAAGTAAAAGATTGTCAACTGGTTGTGGTAGAAGTATAATGCATCTGTCTTCTTTCATCCTGGTTACAATGAGAGGTACGCGGTACACCGTTAAATCCCCGACTGATATCTTGAGCCAGAGGGTTAATCCACCGCCTAGATTACTCCCAGTTGCTCAGAGTGTGAGTGGAATGAGAGTAACCCTCTCCCTCCTGCCCCCCTCCTTCTTCCGAAATCCATCCAAGACAGCCATATTTAGTATTGTAGACCAAGCCGTAAACGTGCAATGAAAAGAGCTGTGCTGAACACTCACTCTGCTCACCATTCACAGAGTTGATTTTGTCTTTGCGGGGTTGAGAGGAGGTTATATTACGTGGGACGGGGGAACAACACAGAAGGAAAGTACAGATACGAGAGGAGAAAGACGGCAGAGAGAGGGAGAGAGAGGAAGATTGCTACTGCGCTAGTAATTTCGAAGGATTAATATTTAATATCCAGGGGAAAACGACGAGGCTATACTCGCTGTTTTACTCTCACCCTCCAGCACCCCTCCCCCCCTATTTCTTCCACTTCCCTTCCTCCTCGTCACATTCTTCTTTCTCGTTCACCCCCTCTGCCCACCAATCGCGCCAACTTTTCTTCGATATATCACCGACTGATCCCCAGTCTATAGGCAACAGCCATATCGACGTTGTCTCGGAGATGAAGGTCTGGGGGAGGGGAGGGTTGGAAGAGGGTCCAATGCACCCCTTTGACCCTTCACATCGATGGAGGAAACAATCCAGCGATGCGTGATTACGTTTTCCCCTCTCACTTCTTGCTCGATGTGCTTTTCTCATGCCGGCTCCTCTCATTTGCGCTATACTTCGGGCTACGCAATTTAACAACTCCCCGCACTACCGCCCTTCGCCATCGCCGCCGAATGAGTCGATCGAGATTTTCATAATCCCTCGCTTTCCATTCAGCTGGATTTACATATTGCTGGGGAATGGATATAACTGGGAGAGGAGACAGTATTTTAGCATATCTAACTTTCTGGAGAACAATAAAAGCTTTCACAAGTGTTAACCAACAACAAATTTCAGCAGGGGGGGGGGGAGAGAAAAAAAAATGGGG